ACTCCTCGTTCGACGCCTCGAATTGGGAGTCCACGAAGGCGGAGGTGGAGGTCCAGCTGGCCCGGCCCAGGACGAGGGACTTGGCCGAGGTAGATATCATTATTACATTATATATTTACGTTTATTAGAAAACAATAAATATTTTGTAATAAACGTAAATAAATGGATATAAATGAAAAATTACACTTTGATTTTTAAAATAATTTTAAAATAAAAAAAATCGATTGCATAAGTAAATATGAAGGTATGAATAAAGGTAGATCATAAGTAATAAATATGAATATATTTGTTGTATTTAAAATGAAGTTAATAAATAATATAAATATAAGATAAATCATGAAACTCCCCATCGGGTTCAAGAGAAGCCATGTAACGACTCGAAATGCAGGTGGAAGGGGCTCGACCGCACACGGCTGCAAGGTGCAGGGGCGACCTGTCGCGGAGGGTGTCGCTCGAGTGCCAGGGGCAACCGGGTTGCAAGGCGGTGGAGGTGGCCGTCATCTTCAAGGACAACTGGGGCGACCAGGAACTCATCGGTGAGGCGTTTCCCCCCCAATTTTAAGTTCTTAAGCGCGAGTGGAAACGTACTTTCATTTGCAATTTGTTTTTCACTTATTTTAATTTCTATTCATTTAAGTTTTTCATTATTTCTTTTCACTTATTCTCATTTTCGTTAATTGGATGCTTTCGTTCATCGATTACACCGCAAGATGAAGTGCATCGTCATCGGTAGAGAAATGCGCTTGCAGTTTTCCCAAGTATTTACTCATCTTGAAATCGAGGATCAAAATAGAAAACGAAGCATTCAATTATAAATAAACCGAAATGCGGACTTCGTTCCCTCACCCCTCGCTCCCTCACCCCTCGCTCCCTCGTCCACAGGGCTGACCGAGATCCAGGTCCTGAACGCAGCCGGGGTCCCGATCCCGCTGAAGGCGAGCTGCGTCCGGCCCCCTCCGCGCGTCAAGGACCCCACGCTCCAACGGTCAGCTCCCGTCGCTAGGCGAATCGCCATGCTTACAATTCCAATTACGTCTGATGAATTATGAGATTCTGGAAATTACAAGGAAAAATGTCAAGTAGAAATGTAAAGTTCCACATATGTCTTTCTCTTGACAGTCAGCGATTCGGAGTCAGCTCTCCAAATCGCAGACCGACTCGTTCATTGTTTTACGAGTCGAAATAATTAGCATGAGGCTATTTAATTTAAAAAAAATGCTAAAAGCTAATCCATTATCGGGTTAGGATTATCGCTGTACTTAAGTCTCCGTGAATCGGCGGATTTCAGGTTGGTGAATGGGCACACGATGACTCAGGATCCGAAGCATATGTGGTGCCAGTCGTTGGGCGGCCGGGAACTCGGGGTGACCTTTAACCTCGGCCGACCCGAGACCGTCACCGGCTTCCGGATCTGGAACTACAACACGTCCCTCGACGATTCCTACCGAGGGGTGAGTTCCTCGACCGGGAAAAAAATATTAATAATCATTAAAATCGTTCGTGGTGCATCGTGACCTCGCTTGACCCAGGTGAAGCGGATCCAGGTGAAGCTGGACGGACAGGAGGTCTCACCGCCGCGGGGCTTCCTCGTGAGGAAGGCACCAGGCCACTGCCACTTCGACTTCGCTCAGGAGATCTCCCTCTCCCCGCGCAACAGGTCGGTCCGAAAGATAGGGGGAAACCGAAGGCTTCACTTTTTTATATAAAAAAAAACAATCGTTGAAAGAAATGCATTGTCAAGATGAGCTAAGCCGACGAGCGGCGTTCGGCCAAGCCACGGGGCGTGAATTTCGACATCCCTGACCTATAAAACGTTCCCAACGTATGGCATCTTTGCCTCGTCTCGAGTCGATTCGCTCGAGTCGCACCTACCCTCAGGTCGACACGACTTATCGGATTTATCGGCACCCGGGTGTCCCAGCGCTAAGAGAGGTTCCCCCGCGCCTTCGAGGTCCCCCGCGCCTTCCCCACTCGAAGAGGGATGCCGAGGGATCGGCAGAGAGACCTTGGAGTCGAATCTCTTTCATTCCCAACCACGAACTCATCCGTCACGAAATTTCACAAGCAATTCGGAGCAGTTTCGCATGCGATTCGGTGCTTGGGACGGAAATGGAATTGACATCGATTCTCAATCACCGCGCCCTCGAGAATCGATGAAGTAAAATGAAGAGAAAGTACCTGAAGGATCCACTTGGCGAGAGCGACTCTTCGCAGTTCGACTGAACCACTGACGATTCTTTTTAAGGCCCGGATACAGCGGGGAAGACGAGGAAGAGACGACGGGAATGCCCTCAGGGTTCATCTACCAATTCAACCTGCTTTCGACGTGGGGAGATCCCTACTACGTGGGCCTCAACGGCATCGAGTTCTACGACCGGGCCGGGACCAGGATCCCCCTCGACGCCGACCGTGAGTCTCCCATCCCGTGACCTCCCTCGCTTTTCCGTGACCTCCCTCGCTTTTCCGTGACCTCCCTCACACCATCCGAATCTTTTCCGCAGACGTGGCGGCGTACCCGAGCAGCGTGAACGAGCTGGAGAACGCGGCGAACGACGTGAGGACGCCGGACAAGCTGGTGGACGGCGTGAACGACACGACGGACGGTCGGAACATGTGGCTCGCTCCCGTCCTGCCTCACCTCGTCTGTTTCGCTCGTTTCTTCGCTTCGAAGCTAGATGGCTCCGTCGGGAAATTCCATTCGCATTGACTCGCTCGCAGTGGCTCTTCGCGCTTGACGCGAGTTCTCCCGCGTTGGTTCATAATGTAGCGAAAACAAAAATGTAAGGAAACAGTCGGTGAATGTGGGGCGTCGATAGTGAGAAATGGCAGCTGCTTGGAAAAGAACGGCAAGAAAGTGCTGGTGTGATTGAAAAAAAAATGGATAGGCGATAAAATAAGAAGAATGCATCATACCTTTTTTTCTTAATGTCATATCAAGGGAAAACATTGCCCAATCGTTTCACAATCATTCTCTCACGTGATGAGAAAGAAGAACAATGAAAGAAGAAATAAAACAGGGGCCCGTAGCTTTAACACCGTCGATCAACAGTATTTGCCACCACATAGTGTAAAGTAACGCAACGTAACGTAACAAAAATGTAACGTTACGTCAGATGTCAAACGATCTTAATTTCAGAGATGGTGGTAACAGCCGAAGATTTCACTAAAATAGGATCCAAACGGGAAAAAGATTTTCAATCTGGAACGATCAGAAATTTCACCATCGCACGAAAGGAGACTCTCCTTTTGTTCGACACTGAAATTTCTGGAAGCAAGTGGAATTTCAGGGAAGCAAGGCATTTTTTGAGATGTTGTTCGTGCCCGCTGAAGAGAGCCTTGGGATTTCTGCCGCAGATCAACAAGGTCTATGTGGTGTTCGACTACCCGGTCACGGTGTCCATGATCAAGATATGGAACTACGCTAAGACCCCGTCCAGGGGAGTCAAGGAATTCTCGGTGAGTTCCTCCAGTTTACTCTAACACGGATGGGCGAAGGGAATGACGCGGATGGACGAAGGGAATGACGCGGATGGGCGAAGGGAATGACGCGGATGGGAGTCCGGTATGTCCTTTGGGAGTCGAACAGACTCCCAAAGGACATACCGGAAATACGAGTGAAGCTCTTGGACGGACGGAAATGCTCCCATCTCTCTTTGTTTCAATCTCAGACCTATTTGCATACTATTTAACATCCTTAAAGAAAGGAAACCGAGAAAGATGGAAAAGGCCGAGATCCTCTCGGAACGGCACCGAACGAGATTCCCGATCGCCCGGGACCGAAACAATAACTCGTTCGTCGACCGACATGCAATCAGTCCATGTCGGTCTCGTGATGATCAGAAACGATCGCGAGAGCAGAAGGAGCAGTCCGGTTGCACGGCACGCAGGTCATCAGTCGCTTCAAAGGATTGCTTCGACGCCGAGTGGCTTTTCTTATCGACTTCCATTTCCGATTTAATATCTTTGCCTTCGTGAAGCGAAGAACAGATGTGGTGCATATCCGAATGACTCGCGAGTGAGTAAATCATTTTTATTGAGTTGCGATGCCGTCCTAGATCCATATACTGTACTATAAATATATGCAGTGGCGTGCCCAGGGGGGGGGGGGGGGTGGGGGTGGGGGGAGGATTATGAGGGTCATAAACTTGGGATACATTTTACAGGTTCGAATCTCAAAAATGGTTTAATTTGGCCATAAATGCAGGGTGGGTTACCAAATTTTCATAAGTTAACTCCCCCATTGGGATTTTTGGACAATAAAAGTAAAGCATTGATGTCAGAGCCACCAAATGGCAACAGGCCGGATATGCCTGGCTTGTAGTCACACTCAGAACTATGGCCAACAAACCACCCACCACCACGAAATAGTCAAAAACTATAATTAAAAGAAAAAACAGTACCAGAGTCAACTTACATAGCCATGATTACCATAAACTGCTGGACGCAAAATAAAACGTTGGCAGTACCAGACAGAAGGTGTTACGAAAGTAAGGAACGTAGATATAAAATGAAGTTAGCGGAAATTTGTCAATTTGGCTCGTTGTCATTTTGCATCTGATTCTTATTTCGTGTTTGGTAGATGGAGTGCAAAATGCGAATATTCTGAAATGCGTATCGCCAAAAAAGAAGCAGGACCAAAAAGAAGTTGAGCGATCTTGACGGAATTTGGTACACAAGCTCGCACTAGTGGACTTGAAGTCGAGTTTCAAGGATGAATATTCACGGATAAAAGGTGCCAAGGCTTTAAACACTCTAATCGCTCAAAATAGCGATAAAAAGGACTGATTGGGACTAAGGACTAATTAGCAAAAAAAGGCAAATTGGAAGGCGTGGCACGCATCAGGCCGATCCATGATCCCGATACACGCGTCCCAATTAACCCAAATCGACCAAACTCTCTAACGGATTCTTGAAATCGCCTTCAGAGATCTCACTGAGATTTCATTTGCCTAATCTTCTCTGCATTGCCTCGTCCCACGACCTTGAAAATTGTCTCGACATTTCTGCGCACCTTCAAGAGTTTTCAGAGCACGTTTCGCGAGTAAAATTCTTCTCGGTTACCGTTTCGGGCGATCGGTACGACCCCACAGCCGCCATCGAATTCGGCAAGCTCGTTCGGCGAATTTTCTCCACGTTACGTTACCATAACGTGACCCAACACCGACATTCGGACAGGTCCTGGTGGACGACCTGCTGGTGTACACGGGGGTGCTGGAGAAGGTGCGGCTGACGCTGGGCAGTCGGAACGGGGTGCCGCACCACACGGTCCTCTTCTCGCCGGACGACATGCTACTGGTGCAGGAGGCGACGAATCTTGTCGGGTGGGTTTTGGGTTCATTGTTGATTGATGTAAATTATTTTTCTTTATTTTAATTATTTTTAATTATCTTGTAAATTTATTTTAATTATTTTAAATTTATTTTAATTATCTTTTTAATTTTATTTTAATTATCTTTTTAATTTATTTTAATTATCTTTTTAATTTATTTTAATTATCTTTTAAATTTATTTTGAGCTATATTTAATTTTTATATATCTATTTTTTTGCGAGGCGACGTGATCGTGAGGGCCTGTCGGTGGCAGCTTTTCGCTTTTACCTTCTCGAGGAAAATGAATCTGAATTATTTAGAGTGCTGAAAGGAGGGTCAGTCTTACGGTCCATCGATTTATCGAAGGTGCAGGTACACGAGTGCTTCAGCGGGGAAAACATTATTTACACCGTTGGACGTGGCTGCAATGTCGGTTTTGCACGCTGCTGCAGTTTTATAACGAATATTTTTTTGCGACAAAGCGGTACCGCTGCATTGAAGAATATCAGTTGGAATTCGGTCATTTTACGGAGCTGCGGACCCGTCGCCTTCTCACTTCCTCACGAATTCAATGTTTCCTTTCGGAAACCCGTTTTTACTCCTGAGAAATCGCTTCGAAGTCTCCGAATTCCATTCCCCATTAGCTATTGTATCGAAAGTTTTCGTAGATCGACTTACGCGGTTTCTGCAGGGTTTCCAGGGTTCACCGGCGAACTTTCACTCGTGGCTCGCGCGTCTCTTCCGCTCGCTGACTGGCCTATGGGCATATTCGATTTCATTTTTCCGGTCTGTTTATTTGTTACGCGGTTTTTGGAGTTGGACGCATTTCATGAGTCTGGTTTATGTTCGGTGTCGAAGTGAAATTACGAAGTGAGACTAGAAACACCTCGGCTTGCCTCGGGCGTGTCGAAGTCGCACTAAATAATACGGAACTCAATTGGAAAAACCACCACGGGGCAGCATATTCGATTCTGCATCCACATCCGGCGATCCTCGATTCTCAAGCGTGCTCGTCTTCCCAAATACCAAAAAAAATCTTTAAAAAAGGGGGAAACCGTTTGTCTAACACAATCTAATGTGTTTTTGGCAGGAAAGGGGTAGTGGGCGAAGAAGTGAAGATGACGAACGATCATCGCTTGGTCCGGTCGCCGGGACAGAGGCCGGTCGTCGATCAGACCCTCCGGCCTCACACCTCCCAACCTGCCCGAACCACTTTCTTCAGGCGAAGAAAGACGTGAAGACGCGTGATTTCATCCTGTGATTCGCGCGGGACGATCCAGTGTTCGAAGCCTGGTGTATCTTTGGACCTGACTCTTACAAAACTCGAAATATATAATTTGATCTCGATGTACAAATTACAGATCCGTCCAAGGTGATTCTCGCACTGCAATTTTCTACTGGAAATATTTTTCGAGCACCCAGAAACGCATGAAATAAAAATAAGTACCATGGGCAAGGAATTTATTCGTACTTATCAAGACACTATGCTATACAACGAATAAGGGATCACTTCCATTCAAGATCGAAAAGAAGCAGGCCTGGATTGCACACCTCCTCTCGTTTCTACAAACTTGCATAGGAGAGTTCCCTCGCAAACTTTCTATACAATCTTCAGATTTTGCCCGGGAACCTGTTCTCGGCCAGCTGGTTCTCCCACTTCTCCACCCACGAGTGGGGGCAAATGCTCTTGTAGACCTTCTTGAAGTATTGGCACGGCTCGTACCCCTCGCCTTTGATCTTCTGGCACCGGTGAAAGTCCACGAAACTCTGGTAGCAGTACCTGGTCACACGCAAACACCACATCGTTTTCGATGAGAGTACAGATATTATTTTACTATGATTTAAACAATACGATTGTTGATACACCTCTGAAGATCAGCTGCCATATTCTTTCCGATCATTTAATCCCTCTCAACAAAATCAAAGACTTCCTCCAAATTAATAAGCTTCAAAAAGGATAAAAGGCAACGAGTCATCAGTAGTAGGGAGCAGGAGACAGCAGCTGAGAGTCTTCTAAGTGATAATATATATCCCATTTTTCACAAGAATAATGCCCCATTGTTTGGAGTACAATCACTTGAGAACATACCCTCCACTTGTGGGGGGGAAAGTAAAATCAACCGAAAGGGGATGGCATTATTAACGACTGGGATAAGACACACACCAGCGCCATTTTCTTGACGGTGCTGATATAAATGCAATCTTAGTATTTCACACATTACCTGTGTACATGCAAAGGAGAAGTAATTTGTATTAAGGCTGGTGGAAGAGTAAAAAAAGTAAAAAATTCTGTCCAGGTTTCATTCTTCACCCTCTGTAGCAGTACACTTGAAAAACGTAGACAACACTTTTATAATAACCAATCCAGTACTAGTCCAATCACATCACAATGTGAATTTCATACAGTGAAATGTCACAAATTGGTATATCCGTAAAAAAATGAATATTTTTGGGGACAGGGTGCACTACAAGGATGGCAAATCCAACTCACTTGGTCTGGTTCTGGTTGGGGAACCGGGGGTCAAAGGGTGCAGTGTCACCCAGCTTCCATTCCTTTGTGGCCATGGCACTCAGAATGTTTTCTTTTGTCGGGCAGAAATGCACCACCGGACTACCCTAATGCAAAAACAAGACCCACATACATAGTGGAAACGGAAAATAAGGAACCACAAAAAAAGTACTCAGTTGATGCATGCCATGTAGATGACAATCTTCCAATGGCACACAATCAATTAGTGTCCTTATTATTGGTAACAATCGGAATACAGATTTAAAATACCCTAACAAAATTATACACAGGGCTGGCCTTAGGCATGTGCCACATGTTCCCCAGCACAGGGTGCAAATTCACCAGGGGTGCCAACAAACACGTGCCAGAATGAATGAAACAATAATTGATGCCACCCTCAGTTTCACTTCAGAAAGTGGAAACACATTTGGTTTCGACATCTTTTAGGACAATGAAACCTTTTTGGATTGACCTTTCTCCCTTCTGAGAGGGGGAGGGCAGGGTGTTGGGAACCTCCTTGCACAGGATGCCAAAATATCAAAATATCTAGGGCCAACCCTGAATATACACATGAACAAATTTTCTAAATATATCTATAAGCATCCATATGTACAATATATATAATATATATAATATGTATATAAAAAGACTTGCAAGTCAATGAACCTGAGTCACCTCAGACAGAGGTAGCCTTTTGTACACAACAAAGGCCCAGCTGAAACAAAGTTCCCCATCCATCTAATAACATAAAACTTGAACCAACATAGAGTGGAGTACAAAACCTTCAATTTCCAAGATAGGCCAAAAGGATTTCTCCAGATAAATAGAATCCATTATTGAGTAGCAACAGAGGGTCAATTGGCAGACTGTTGGACAGCTGACGAAGGTGCAAGGAGGTGCTTGTGGACCATCTCCTCCTTGTGGATGAGATGGGTGGTCTTGTTCACCAGTTGCATGAGAGAGGCTGCACTGGTGGCCCAGTCATTGAGCACCTCGTTGGTGGGGCGTGGGGGGGAGAAGGAGATGATTCCCTCCAGTCGGTCCATCTTGGCAGAAACCATTCCCTTCACCACCAGGTTTGACAGGAATTCCTCTGTTTCCTGCACAAAGCACACATGGTAACATTTATTTCTTCTTGGGGAAGATGTCCCATGGCATCAAAATATTCAACCTTAATGTATTCAAAATGATGCAACTCTGAGTTCCATCCTAATGATCATTTGAATGACCGGAGTAAGCAAGCAACATTAATGTAAAAAATGCCCTGCATCCCCTACAAATGGGATTTAGATGGGTGAATGTTATGATGACAACAATAAATATATTATGGTGGACACTTCTGACAAAAGAACAAAAGTTTCATTTAACCGATAATTCAGAACAATACTCATACCACAAACACGGTATGGATACAGAAAGGACAATTGAAGAACACAAACATTTGGTGGATCATTCAATGCCACTGCAGTAAAATTGTGATTTTCATCCCCACCAATTGCAGAAAAAGAAAGAGACTGATTCATTGCAGCACATCATTAAAATGATCCTCCTCAAAGGATATTTCCTTCTCAGTAAAAAGAAATTAAATTAATCATACCAAAAATCCCACCAAAACCTTTTCATATAATTGCTTACCATCAAAATCCTTCCAACAAAAAGACACTGAACAGATTTCATTGCATTAAAAAACATAGCAAATAGAAAAGGAAGATAGCAGACCTCTATGGGAAGTGCCAGGAGTTCCGACATCCTCTGTACTCTGATCTTGGTGTAGTATTTTGCCATCACTCGAATGTTCTGTAGAAGGAAGATATATTCCTTATATTTTGAAAAGAGTTGAAGCCAAAGCTTTGCAACTAGAAATGCTTACAGATATAATTCCAAATATTTCCATGGCTGCACAATTAAAAAAAGTAGCCACATAGCTAATACTGCAGCTATCCAAGTTAACCTGCCCCTTGCTTCATTTCATTATCTTACATCAAGGTCACAACCATCAGAATCAGCAGGGAACTGATGAGAAAAATGCACACATGCAATCAGTGTTCCAAGAGTGCCTCAGCTTGAATACCAGTCATGAGTGATGGAAAACTGAGTGCATCATTCATGTCAGCATGTGGATAAATGAGAGCCAGGAGAAAAAAAAAATCGATTTCTCAGAAAATACTCATTGGGTGTAGGACTTGAAAAAAAGGACTTGCCATTGTTTACTGAGAGAGATAGACACTCAACCCTTTTACTCTTCCAATGAAAAATGTTTTCCTCCTCCTGTCTCCATGGAAACCAATATAAGGATTGACACTCGACTCCCCAAGTAATGGAACCACATATAACTTTCTTTACAACTTCACTGAGTCCAATTCAGTAGCAAGGCCTTCTCCCACTGCCTTTCCTCTATTTAATCATGCCTCCTGGTCTCTTAGAACAGCAGTCTATTATGATTATCACTGTTCACATCATGCTACCCCAATGCATGACCAAACAAGCACGATGCTGCGAGGTTTGTTCAGAGTAGCACAAGTCACCCGGCAGGAGTTCTACGAACTGGCAAACAAGTGCAAATGGCAAGAAGCCTTCTTGGAAGGCATCCAGAGAAGGGGAGGGAGGAAAAGAGGGGATAACTAAGGTCATCAAATGCATAGCAATTAATTAATTCACTCATCAATTGGTTCAACCAGTAGGAGGATAATTATTATTGGGGATAATAATTGCACTGAAAATGGGTTTCTGAGAACAAAGGAAACCAATGAAGTATTTTAGTAAAAAAATAAAAATAAAAAACTTGTTTCAAGCAAAAGACACACTTTCAGAAGTAAACAGTAAATTGTGAGGGAAACATACTCAAACAGAAATCAGGAAAGTAATGCTATCTGAGCACTTTTGAATGTATGAAAGGCACACCAAAATGCTGATCTCTCCGATTCCTTTGGGTTTTCCAAGCCCCTTTTAATGCCATGAAAGATATTCTGGAGTGACACAGGAAATTCCTGAATTCCATAGGTTTTCAATGACTCCAGAAGAATCAGCAGCATCAGGCTATAAATGTGCTCCTTGAATCAATCAATCAATCCCTAACCCCCAAGAAAGAAAACCAGATGTTTCAGCAGTGTGGGACTAATCTCAAGGCCCTAGAAGGGAAATAAGATGATGAAGTATGACAAGCAGGAGGGCTCATATTAGGGCCAGTTGCATGAGGGGGAATTTGTTGGAATCACTTGCTTGAATTCATCAGCTGTGTTGCTGCTAAAATAATCATGAAAAATGACATGTCTGCAACATACAACTGCAGGCTATAGCAGTCACAGTGAAGGTGTGCCTATTTGGTCTTCAAACAAGCACTATTTCAATTCCCTTGTAAAATTCAAGTTCTCTCATGGCATAAGATGGAGCATCTCTTTCAGCACAAATTAGAAAAAGACAACTCTTCACAGAGAAAATCATCAAGGAAAAGGGACAACGAACATGCTCTACAACGCGGTTCTGAAGGTCCTTCCAGCGTTTGTTCCCTTCCGGGGAATCGAGGAAGACATCTGTTGGTGGAGACCCATCGCTCCCCTTCCTCAGTTCCCGTTCGAACGTCTCACACATTCCCAACCACTTGATCAGCTCTGATGTCATGAACAGCTCCAGTAGATCTCTGCACAAATAGTACAATCAAATCATTCATCAATATTTCTCTCTGATTTGTGGATTGTGTCAGTTTACTTCAGGAAGATTAAATTCTACCAATAACTTTGATATTGAAAATCTGAGAAAAAAATATTTAAACAATTGTACATAATTACAAGGAAAGCACAGAAAAATATTTACTACCATCAGCATCATATCAAACCTTAAAAAAATACAAGGACATCCCCCTCTCAACCCAATAATTCAAATTGTAATACAATATAACTGTTTTCTAAGTGGCATTCCCTTTTATGATGCATAGAACCAACACAACTTCTGGATTCAGCATGCCTCAGAGAACACTGCATCGGGGGGGGGGGGGGAAGAATATCATGACAGATAATAGGCATTGTTGTCTCCCTCAGACCATCATGGCCTAAACAAAGCAGATGAGAATTCTACTTCAGCACCAGTGAGAGGTGAGAACTAATTTTACAAAAAAGGCCACATTCAAATGCTCTCAAAAGGGTCCATTGAAATGAGGCTGACTTATAAAGATGTCACTTGACAACCACAAGAGCTTGGCAAATTTTAGGTCCTTTAAAAACCACTTGAAAATGTGGAGCCCAACAGCAACCAGATTAGGCTGGCATTATATTTTATCTACACATATCACAAACATAGATTTCTGGAAACACATTTAAAAAAATTGAGTTCACGGTAATTTACATTACAACACATATCATTATTTCCTAAGAATGCAATTCAGGGAAACTGACTTGTACAGTGGAGTTTCCTCAAGCTGCTTGTCCTCACAAATGCGGTGAGTAAGATCTGCCTGCTCATTGTCATAAGGGGAGAGGAGGAGATAGAGGACAATGTTCTTCAGGACCAGCCTCCGCTGTTCTATGTCGTTTTTGATCCCTGGAGTGTTGTAGATGGCACGGTAATGCTTGCAGATGCTCATGTAAGACCCCTCATGCTGGTCGACTTCAATCATGAGCCTGTAGTACTTCAGCTTCAGCTCTTCCGTCCCTTCCTCGTCGAAGAACTTCACATTGATCTTCTTGGAGATGATCTGTGTGCGAATGTAGTCCTTCTTGGCGATGCAGAGCCTCATCTGCTCCAGGATGAGCTCCACCTTCTCCTTCCTATCCATGGAGCCAAATGTCTCCACCTGGAGCTCCTGGAGGATGGTAGCTGCCTCTGTGATGTCACCTTCCGACTCCTTCATTATGGCCAGCTTGTGCGTCAGTCGAGCACGCTCCACCTCCACATATATCTGATTGATACAAGCACAATGAGACTTCTCTGAATCTGTACCATAAGTCTAATGGAATGTGTAAGAAATGGTGTATACATGGGGAACTAATGCATGCACCTCTATTATTGGTTTCCTAAAAAATTATATTACTACATAGTCCTCATGTTGGATACATGAAAACAAGACACAAATCTATACAATTCAAATAAAATATATTTATAGTCACTTCTGGAAAGTTTACTTTAAAAAAAAAGAGGGAAGCTCGTTTTGCTTGAGGAAATATAAGCAAACTTTGGACTTACTTTGTAAAGTCTTGATTACAGTTTTGAGATATTTTTTCAATGAGAGGTGTAACCCAAATAGCAAAAAATAAAAGAATGATGACAAACCTTCCCAGCTGTGACAGTACGAAGCGTGTCAATGAGCTTGAGTTGGGTCTCCTTGTCAGGCATTTTGTCGACATAAGTACATGCCTCCTGGACCATCTTGGTCACAGCCTGTTTCAGCTGACTCCTTCTCTTGCTCAGCAAAACAATCTGCTCATTCAGCAGCTCATACTTCTTTGCTTCAAAGCAGAGCTGCACAATGGTGACCAGCACACGGCTTGTGCTGTGCATGTCGGCCCCCTGAGAATTGAAACCCATTAAATGTTGGACTTTTTATTGCCACAGACACTAAGTGCTAATACATTTACAGTCATGTGTATAGCTGAAGGCAAGAATAAGTTGTCTTAAATCTGCCAATATAGACTTAATTCAATCTAGTTCAAGTATTAACGGCTGAGTTGAGGCCATATGTGGCCTCAACTCTTGTTTCCTCGCATCCTTTTAAATTCCAGAGACCACAAATTTTAGAAATATATGAGCTTGAGAGCTTTCAAGACCAAAAGGATATAATTAAAGCCCATTCTGATCCTTGAATGGCTGTGACCCTGCATAATTTCCAATAGTATGCCTGTGGCATTTCATCTTGGCACAAGATGCACCTACATCCATAAACCATATTCCAAAAGAATCTGTGCATAAGAGATGCTCATTTTTTACATCTAGTTCATGCCAGTCACATTATCAAAACCTAAGGGGAAGCTGGGTGAATAAATGCACTCCATCTGGCAAATACCTCAATTGGATCAGAAAAGGATTCAAGAAACAACTCACAGTTCTGGTCTGCTTTTCGAGGGCAAGGAGGATGTCAAGAGCTTCCTGGAGCTTCCCCTCGGCAGCTAACGCTTGGCATTGGGGAATCTTTTCATCACAGGTAGGCATGTAATCCACCTCCATCTTCACAATGTGCCCTCCAGCTGTCACTGCCTCTGCCATTTTTGCTCACTCAAAAACCCACTGTGTCAAACTGTCAGGTACAATGTCTTAGAGAAACAGGGAAATGAAATTTACAGATTAGGCAAGAAGCATGCAACTTCCACACAGAGCAGAAAAAGGACACAGCTTGACTCTAGCAACAAGTATGCCTAGCCTCACATGTGGGCCTAGCCCAGAATCCCAAAAGATTCAGAGGCCAATGAAACATCATTGTATGGCTAATGGCATTGCAGGAAACCATCACACATCATCCTATAGATATTCCAACACTGAATATAGATGTATTGCATTTGTTGTTTCTGCTGACTCTTCAGTTCACTGAATCCTGAGTCTCCTCTTTTCAAGCTTCAGCTGATGCTTTAGACCAGGAGTTGGTAACCATGGCTTGGATTCAGCTAGTGAAGAGATTTCATCCTAACCACCAAGCACAGCAAGAATGGATATTGATTGTATATTTCATATATTCTTTTCCAAAACCTCATACTCACTCATCTGGGCAGATCAGCACCACAATCTATTATACACTCTGGCCTGCCACAGGGCCAAGCCAAGTTAATCCAGCTCACAATTAATGAAGGGTTGCCAACCCTGCTTTAGATTGTTAAAATTTCAATGAATATATTTTACTCGTTGACTCTATAAGAAACTATTATCTTTTATTCTATGTTTGCATAAACATGAGCTTTATGGTCCCCATAACGATACAATAATAAATGTGAGATTCACAGTTTCATAAGCAGTACTGCCAGGATCACAGCCAGAATCACGATGAAGAGAGTAATGTATATCACCTTCTGCCGAAAGACCTCATCGGCTGCTTTGATGGACCTCACCAACTGATTATTGAAGGCAAACACCTGCACGCTTTCCTCCAAGATTCCCCGTCTTGTGTTGGGGTCCAGCGTCTCCCCGATTTCGTTTAGGCTTTCCCGCAATGCCTTCTTCAGGTTCTGAGCTCCATCTTTCCCAGGAAAATGGGTTGTGGCATGTCCTGGCAAGTGCTCATATTCATCAAATGATGCTTTTGGCCCCCAGATCTTGAGGCTCTGCACGATCTGCTGCTTGCGGCGGAGGATCTGCCCACCAGACAGCAGACCCATGTACTGATGGTATATGTGAGCTATCAAGAGCATCGGATTCTGCTCTTCGATCTGGCCGAGATGATCGAGGAAAGCCTGCACTTCCTTCCGCCTTTCCTTCTTTCTCCAGTCTGGTCCCAGATAGAAGTCCAGGTCTTCCTCAAAAGCAGACTTCCGTCTGAGCCCAGGGATGTCCATCTTCTTCAGGGCTTTCACATCTGTGTGATCCAGAGCCTCTTCCATGCGACGGTAGATCTCATAAAACACCAACAGACCCTCCCCCCATACTCGGTCATCATTGGCTGCCAACGCAACTTTTGCATTCACCAGATTATCACTGATGGTGTGGATATCCTTTGTGTAAGAGCGCATTTCAACACTAAATGCTTTTGAGGGGAGTAAATCCTGCTCCTTTGCTTCACTTGATGCCATCTCTGTACTAATTGCTCCCAACTTCAGAGAGTAGCAGATGTTTCTGCCAATTTGGGAAATGCAAAGAAAGTTTGATGGGGTGATGAACAATTAGAACATGCAAGGGCTTAATGATGGATTGGGGGATTCATCCTCTATGACCTAAGCATTCTAGACTTTGGAGCCCAAGGATCAAGACACTATTTCATCCCTCTTTGTAAGACCAGCCCCATATCAGAATAACCACTTCTATACCTTTGTAGTTTGCTGTAGAAATTTGATTCCTACAAACATGTCAAACCTAAGACTCTGCAGTGTGGGTCTGAAACATGCGACTGCATGACAGCATTGAAGGCTATAGTAACATCCTCTCTCCTCCAAGACACTTTCACAAGCACGTGTAGATTTCGTACTAACGTTAGGCCTTAATGCAATTGCTCTGCTGTCAGTCGTTACAGACCGATAATAAATAGCCTAAGCTGGTAACTTCAGCCAATGCGAAAATGTCAATGATTTGAGGGCAATGCATGATCGTGCATATCTATATCTCCGAATGAACCAGAAACGAGTAAGATAGGCCTGTGCCAAAGTGACTTCTTCCGATGACAAGCGTATCACCACGAGAATCCGCGTATAAATGATCACAGGCTTACCCCAAGTGAGTGCACAAACGGACACTCGGGTCTAGGTCTAACGTTAGGCACTAAAATAACTCTGCCCCATCGATGGTCTCGGGTCAGGCCTCGCACTTCCACGGCTCACAGGTCCTGCAATGCCTGGAGACGATCGAGAGGGGAGTTCCATGTTGGGCTTGGGACTGGCTGAGACGTCAATGGACGTCATCCCCCAGGTTGCCCAGAGATGAATCTACTCTCGGGCCTTCTGGTGGGTCTCCCTCGTCCCGTCGACAGTCGACCCCAAGGCCTACGTGACCGAGGCAAGGAGTATCCAGCGAGTGGTCACGGTGCGGCCTCGTAGGAGTTCCCCGACGTCTCCACCCCTCCCCCAAAGTGATGCACATGACTGCCGCTAGATGTCCCTCGTGTAGAGGCATTTACGATTCCTTGTGTACAAGCCCGTGCACGAACGGGGTGAAATAAGTGGAATGAAAGCGCTTCGTGCACGCTGTTCTGCCGCTTCCATCGGCTGACTGGAACTCCAGAACTTTCCCTGCCCAGATAACTTTTCGTGTGGCCCACGTTGGCCCAATCTGATCATCCGACGTCAGGATCCGTTGGCCCGACGTAGATTATTTCCCAGTAACTCTCGAATATTGGATCAATATCGGCTGCCAAGGAATCTTGGCTCAACATTGGCACCCATTGGCATTATTGGGATCACCACCGGGTCCCTTGTTGGGCCAATATTGGCGTTAATAGTCTCTCTAAATTCTTTGTCCAGTGGAGGAATTCCCATGGTGAAGGTATTTCTAATTGTAGTACTAGTACTGCCTCTATCGGTACAATCCCCTGCCCTTGCACATGTCTGTCCCATGGATGTACTAATTACAGTAATTACGCTGTACGGCTGCACGCTGAAGTGTACTGTAATTAGTACATCCATGGCCATGTTCGCGTTCATTACCTTGAAATTTTCCGTACCTTTTCACGGGTTACTGACTAGTTTATGCTTAAATTCATTATCCAGTTGAGGTATTCCCATCTGTAGTACGGAACCTGTACTAAGTACTTTATACTAAGTACTTTACGTGCTTATATGCCCTAGATATGCAGGAGACATCGGCCATCACAGACTGCTGATTACAACACACGTCAGAGGATGGAGCACCTTATACGGTTCCATGAAGCATTCGCGATGTCAGTCTTTTCTTTCCTTATTTCTTTATCAAGATGAGGAAACAGCGGAATTCTGTTCACGGACGCTTCCTAGCGTTTAAGATCTTCTCAGTCGAAGTTTTCGGCGAGGCTTTTGGGTACTGTGGGCTCCGCGGCGGACCGAGGAGTGGAGGAGGAGCCACCCCCAAGCCACCACCTCCAAGAGGAGGAGCCACCACCTCCAAGAGACCTCCCACCTCCAAGAGACCTCCCCCGGACCGGGACAAGGGGGTGGAGGCGAGAGTGGACAGTGACAGTGTGGATGTGATCGTGTGACGTTGTATAACGGTGTGTATTGTATGTCTGGATTGTATTGGAGACCTGTAAATTATTCCCGTCGCCCGCGACTTGTCAACTTCCTTCCTGCCTGGTGCCTGTGGACTATACGAGTGAGTGGTATGCATTCAATATATCCATTGTTATTGTTGCCGAACAGCCTAGTCCTTCCGAATCTCACCGGTACTTATCTGATTGGAGTCAGTCCGTATATAATAAGGCCTAATTACGTACACGGAGAGCACGCGATCCCATTCGGCGGCCTCGCCCACAGTGCGAAAAGCGAGACCCGTCCCGACATCTAGTGGCTTGGAGGGGAACTTCAACGTGTCGAAGTTCTCCACCAGGAGTTCTGAATGCCCCCGTTGGGCCCACATTGGGCCAACATCGCCTCCCTCCTTTTCCCAGCGTTGGCCCAACGCAACGCGTCGCCTGGGTGAATGCTGCAGACTCACGTGAAGCAAACCGACCCGACAAAATTGGCAAACGAAGATCATCGCCAACAGTTGCCGACAGAAGCAACGTCCGTAACCGACGATGCCTCTCGCGCAAATTGTGAGCACGGAAACGCATGAAGAACATTCCCAGAAAATACATGATGTTGGCCCAATGTTGGCCCGACCTTCCCCACGTCGAGAACTGCAGAACACCTGGTGAAAAACTTCAACACCTTGAAGTTCCCCTCCAGCCCACTAGATGTAGTCGCGGTTCCCGCTTTCCGCACAGGACACACAAAAAAAATTCCCCCTTTCCCCGAGAAATTTCCTCGCGAGTCTTTTTGTTTCCTTCCCGTGTGTCTCGCCCGGCCTCATTATGGGAATCGATGAAACGCCGACACTTCGTTTCATATCCACGCGTTCGAGGCAGATTCCGTGGAGCCCAGGCACATAAACAATCTCGTGTTCCCGTGAGACTCCGTGATATACGACTCCGATATTATCTTTAATACCAAATGAGGAAAACTATCAGGACTTCCATCGCGGATCCTTCATAGAATTGTATGAGGACGATCCTTTTTATGACGTGTACGTAACCAGGGCATGCA